ACCCTCAGTTTGTTTCCTGAGATTAAGAATTCCTCATAACAGTGAGATCATATGATACATATCCTTCTCTGATTGACTTGTTTTGCTTAGCATAATACCCTCTAGTTTCATCCACATCGTTGCAAATTGCAAGATTTCGTTTTTTGGAGTTTTTAAAAAATTTTTTTAAAGATTTTATTTATTTGACAGAGAGAGACAGCGAGAGAGGGAACACAAGCAGGGGAAGTGGGAGAGGGAGAAGCAGGCCTTCCCCGGAGCAGGGAGCCCGATATAGGGCTCGATCTCAGGACCCTGGGATCAGGACCCGAGCCGAAGGCAGATGCTTAACGACTGAGCCACCCAGGCGCCCCAAGATTTCGTTTTTGGTGGTTTTTTTTTTTTTTGATGGCTGCATAATATTCCATTGTGTGTGTGTGTGTGTGTGTGTGTGTGTGTGTGTGTGTGTGTGTGTATACCACATCTTCTTTATCCATTCATCTGTTGATGGACATCTTGGCTCTTTCCATAGTTTTGCTATTGTGGACATTGCTGCTATAAATATTGGGGTGTAAGGCTTTATATAAACATTTACCCGACAGATTTGTCTCCTTTGAAAAAAGTTATTACTTGCAAAGCAGTACAGTCTCAAAAACCATCATGAACATGCCATTTTTTCCCCCAAAAAAGCAAGAGTTTCACATCAATTCTCGGGATTCTTTGGAATGATTTCTTCCAGCCTCCATCTGTAGCACTTTTCACCTTAATTGCCTTTTGTTACTAGATTTTGTGAACAAAGCTTAAAATTGAAGAATTTTGTTTCTTTCCTTTGTTCAAGGTTAATAAATACTGGTTGCATGTCCACAGTGCACTGAGTTATGTCAAGCATTGAGGGTTTAAAGATAAATACATCACGATTCCTGCCCATGAGGAGTTTCTAGCCTATAAGAGAGGTCAGAAGATCGTTGCAATTTAGGGTGATAATGTCCAGCACAATCAGTCATGATCAGCTCTTTACCTCTCCAATCTTATTCCTTGATGCTTATATCTTTTTCTCACCTCTGTCATCTCTTCTGTGACTAACTCTTTTTGATCTTAGATGTCACTTCTTTTGAGATATTTTCTTTGATCTCTCAAGACAAAGCTAGACACTCCCACCCCTACCAGTATGTTTGCATAGTACCTAAGTACTGATTATTGTAGATCCTATTTATTTGAACTGTCAGCGCGTTAAGGGCTAAAACTGTTGTTTTAGCACCAACACATTGCTGGGCACATAATCAATGATCAGCAAATCTTTATTGGAATTCTCCTTGAATGACTAAAGAATGGCTCATAATAGTGGAAGCAACATTTGAGCCAGTTCTTAAAGGATGAGTAGAAGTTCCCTAGATGGATCTGGGGAAGAAAAAATTCAGGCCAAGTGAAGAATTCGTACAAACAGATGAGACCTTGAAAAGTTTTTACAAGTGACTGAGAAGGCTTTCTAATTTCCACATGGAGTCTGAGATACAGGTTATTGTCTAATGTTATTTCCTATAACTCTCCAGAGCCAGCCAGACTAGATTAGAGTTACATCATGGGGTAAAGAATAAGAAGCTACCCCCCCCAATTATAGATCCAGAAGTTGAAAGTTAATCCTTTACTTCAATATGTATCTGTGTGACCTGTCAGTACTTTCTGTTGGTCAATCTTTCCTGGAGGGAAGTGACTTTCTTCCCAACCTTTCATTAGAGCTCACCTCCTTGAGACATCTCAGGCCAGGAGAAAGTAGTATGCTGAAGTAAATTGAGGGAGATGTGATTAAAATCACTAAGAGCTTACTCCCCTAAGTAATCCAATTTATATTGGTACTTCAACATAAAAGTACATTTAAATGAAAGCATTATGCTCTTGTGATTGATCTTGTAAACTATATAAATGTGTGTGATCTCATGTTTGTGTGTGATATGATATGCTTGCCAACAAAAGGCTTTGGAGTTATAAACGTCGCTAAGTTTTGAATGCCTAGCTCTTTATAGGTTACTTGCAGTGTTTAGAAGCAGTTCTTTAAAAAAAAATGATGCTCTGGTTAGAGGGCTTCAAGTGCTATCTTTGCCTGTTAAACTTTATTTTTATAAGGCCTTCTTGCTCTTTCCATAAATAGAGGAAGATTCACAAATTTTAATCTGTCACTTCCCCCATTCCTTGAGGCAATAAGCTGTGGAGGAAAAGTACTCTAAAAAGAGACTATCTTTTATTACGGGACAGTTAAGAAGAAACAGTTGTCTACTTACTGTAAAGTTAAAACGAGAATCCCCTTTGCATTTTTTTAAGTAGGCTCCAGACTCACGACCCTGAGATCAAGACCTGAGCTGAGATCAAGAGTTGGCCGCTGAACCAACAGCCCCACCCTTTGCATTTCTAAAATATAATACATGGAAAACTAGAATGAACTCAAGGCTTTGATTGTTAAATTTTATTTTATTTTTTAAAAGATTTTATTTATTTGAGAGCGAGCGAGCACAAGCAGGCAGAGGAAGAGGAAGAAACAGACTCACTGTTGAGCAGGTAGCCCGATGTGGGGCTCTATCCCAGAACCCTGGAATCATTACCAGAGCTGAAAGCAGACGCTTAACTGCTTAACTGACTGAGCCACCCAGGTGCCCCTGATTGTTAAATTTTAAAGTCATCAGTGGACCAGTATCTTCCTCTCTCTCTCAGCTTGCTTGCTTATCAATTGACACCAAGTAAATATTGATTGTTGGAATGAAACTGAAACAGGCTGGCCAGTGACCGTGTATCAGCCTGGTACATAGGCAGCAGAATGATCAGAGAGATTTGTTGTTGTTGTAGAGAATGGGCTTCCTTGGGAAATAAGTATATCTTTAGGAAATAAATATTTCCGACCATTTACACAAGGGTCAAAAGTGAGTCCTGGAGTTAGAATTGGGAGACTTGGGTTTTAGTCCAGGCTCTGAGCAAGGCAGTTAATGGTCACTAAGAATCCTTTCATTCTCTTCTTTATAAGTTTTATTGTGACCTTCACAGTACTCTAGAGTAAGCAATGAGCCAAGCCAAGGTGGGCATTTAAATTAAGCAGGTGGTAAACAGCAGCTATACCAGGATCCGTAATCTGTTGTTGTACTCCTGTATGGTCCTGTCAGCATAAATTAAATGCGACAGTACTGTTTCGGGGGGGGGGGGGTGTTTGGGTGTGTGCGCGCACTGTTCCATCTGCTTGAGGTTTTTGTATAGCAACCCTGATTGTGTTCAGACTTCCTCCTTAACTTCCTTCTTCCAGTTTGCTCTCTGAATTCATGATACAGAAATGTCATCCTCTTCCGTTTCTGACTAACCTCTTTGTAATGACTGAGTTTTTTGCCATCTACTATTGTCTGGCTGTTCCTGGCCTTTCCTTTCTTGATTTGTTTTTTTACTGTAACAACTGTGATCATTAGTGCTTGCATTTATTGAGAGTTTTCCGTGTGCCAGGCACATTGCAAAGGGCTTTATTTATGTTCATGTCATTTAGTCCTTAACATCTGCCTTGTGCTGCTAAGTATGGTTACGCCCCATTTTACAAATCAGGAAACTGAGGCGCAGAGGTGAAGTAACTTGCCTAGTGTTAACGCCTAGTGATAGATCTGGAATTAAAATTTCAGTTGCCTCCAAAGCTCTCCCTCTTTTTTTTTTTTTTTTTTTAGTTTTGTCGTTTGTTTATTTTTTAAGATTTTATTATTTGACAGAGAGAGAGAGAGGACAAGCAGGGGGAGCGGCAGGCAAAGGGAGAGGAAGAAGCAGGCTCCCAGCTGAGCAGGGAGCCCGACGCAGGGCTTGACCCCAGGACCCCAAGATCATGACCCGAGCTGAAGGCAGGCGCTTAACCGACTGAGTCACCCAGGCTCCCCCAAAGCTCACCCTCTGGCCATGGTGATGGAGACAGTGGTGATGATGATGATTACTACAATTTGTTGAGCACCTACTGGGTTCTGGGCGGTGCATTTGCCACCTTTTTCCCTCCCCATTTTATAGTGTAGAAACCTATTACACATGGTCTGCTTTTAGGCTAGTAAATAAGTCCCAGGGTTTAAAGGCATTGGGCATTCTTACATTACAGCATTCTTTCAATATGTTTTTCCTTTTACTCTTTCCTGTTTTAATGGTCAACATGTTTTTCTGACTACTACCAGTATGAACCAGTATTAAATGTTGCCTAAGTTTTTCTGCACTTTTTTTCTTACCACTGCCTTGGCATTATCATTTTCTTATTTGTTACCTTTGCTATTTTTCCTATATCAAAAGCAGATAATGGGGATAAGATAATGGGGGGAAAGGAGAAGGTGCTAAGAAAAGGCAAGAGGAAAGTCCAAATACTAGAAATTGTTCTGTGATCTCAGTTTGGAAAATGAAGATTTAAACTAAAAGCTCTGTTTTTTTTTTGTTTTGTTTTTTTAGCAGCTGTCTTTTGTTGAAGGACTTTGGCACTTACAAATAAAAATTCATCAAACTGTGTCCTTAATATTTATGTATTTTGGCTATATGTAAATTAGTTATATTATTTAAAAAATCAGTATGCAAGCTGGACCTTCAGTTGCTGCCTGTGGTTAGCTGATATTTCCATGTATTATAAGCAACATGTAGGGTTACTCCCAATAGTTTTGTAATCCCCAAGATCATATGGTGGTTACTGAGCTTTAGCAGAAAGAGAAATAGTATATAATATCTTCCAAACATTTATTTCAAGTTTACTATTTTAGTAAGGAAAATTTTCAGAACTGTTTCTTTTTATTTTTAGAAAAGGTATATTCAGGGCTCCTGGGTGGCTTAGTTGGTTAAGCGACTGCCTTCGGCTCAGGTCATGATCCTGGAGTCCCTGGATCAAGTCCCGCGTTGGGTTCCCTGCTCGGCAGGGAGTCTGCTGCTCCCTCTGAGCCTCCCCCCTTCTCATGTGCTTTCTCTCTCTCTCATTCTCTCTCTCTCAAATAAATAAATAAAATCTTTAAAAAAAAAAAAAAAGAAAAGGTATATTCAGTCCTAAAATATCCTTTCTGATGTTATTAATTCCCCAAGTATAGATCAAATCCTGCTTAGGGTATACCACTTACAGGTAGGAAACACTACGATTTTAGAGCAAGCAGTGAAATATAAGAACAGTCGATACTTTTAAGGCAAGCCTGTTTTGAAGACATACCTTTGAGTTGAATTCTACTCCCATCAGTCTGCTGTGCGTAACTCTGATGTTTTTTGTATGATTACATTTACAAGTTCTGTGGTAGACTCTTGAGCAGGCTCCCTTCTTCTATGCCGGTGAGTCTGGAGAGTTACAGCCAAAAGCTCCGAGTCAGGAAAAGTAGGTGTGGCTTTTGGGGGCTGTGCCGCTCAGCCCCTAGAATGTAGTTGGCAGTCTCCTCCCCTTCCTGCACTTGAGCTCTTCACAGTGTGCGCACTGGAATGACAGGCATTCCTGTGTGAGGAGAGCCAGCGTGAAGACATATTTGTAAGAACCACAAGTGCCTAGGCCAGGATACAGGGAACAGAAACTCCAGCAGATTAACTGACCTCATGCTCTTTCCTGATATTTGGGAGTGACACTGAGAGAGGAGTGCCTGTCCCCTCTCTATGTGGATTTATCTTTTAAGAAAAGTTTTCTTTGGTCCGGGACAGTTTGTTGTCGTGAGACACATCAGACAATTTAATCATGGGGCAAGCTGACGTCTCCAGACCGGTAAATCCAGATGCAGTTGGTGAGTAATAGAAGGCAAGGAAACAAAATCTTGACAGAGGCAAGGCAGATGAATAGGTGAGATTGAATATTTTATAGAAAGTTGAATGTTGTGAGGATTTTGTTGTTTGTAACTTTAGGACATTTACAACTTTGTAAAGAATGAATGAAAATTTGTAAGTTGTTTTTCACTCAGTTATATTAATTTACCACTCATAGTTTTGTCTTACTTGATCCCTTTGGAGTTTTTTTTTTATATAATACTGCTAGGAAGCCATCTATTAATTTCTTGCTCTTGCAGAAGATAAGTACTACAGGAAATCATATTTAGGATTCAGTGTTGTTTTACTAGCATGTTGCGGGACTTGAGATCTATATGGCATAGAACTAGAACTGTTGACTTCTATAATTGGACCATTTTCAAGAATTGTTATAATTTCTGGGGCGCCTGGGTGGCTCAGTGGGTTAAGCGGCTGCCTTCGGCTCAGGTCATAATCCCAGGGTCCTGGGATCGAGCCCCGCATCGGGAGCCCGCTTCTCCCTCTCTCTCTGCCTGCCTCTCTGCCTATTTGTTCTCTCTTTGTATCTCTCTGCCAAATAAATAAATCAAATCTTTAAAAAAAATTGTTATAATTTCTTAGACTCAATTATACATTCTCCAAATAAGTCTCTGGCTTTTCCCATTGTGCTGGTATTTCCATTTCTTGTAAGGCAGTTCTTTGGTATAAACATTTTTGATGTCAGTGCTTTATATTTGAAGTGTTATTGTCTCAGAGATAGCTAGAGACCAAGCTGGTAATCGCAAGTGTAGCTTAGAGTTTCAAGGCTTGTAAATGAAATGAAAGTCCATTGTCCGTGAAGACTCATTTTCCCACCTGTGTGGGGTTTTGTGTAAGATGAAGATGTAAAGGTAGGAAAAATAGTTTTAAGTGGAATTGTTAAAGGGTTGGAAATATAAACAAAGTGGGGGAAAGCCTGGGAATCATTTCTTGACATTATACTTTTAAAAAAGATTTGTACCTTCTCTTTGATTTTGGAAGCAGTAGAAAACATGTTCAGTCCTAGGCTGCTCTTTTTTTCAGAAATGAAAAATGTTGATGACTTTAAAGAAAAGTTTAAAGTGTGAGAACACAGGTAACATTCCCAAATGTCTTGTGATTTAATATTATTTAGTTGGTTTTTTTTAAGATTTTATTTATTTATTTGACACAGAGAAAGAGACAATGAGAGAGGGAACACAAGGGGGGAGTGGGAGAGGGAGAAGCAGGCCTCCCTCTGGGGAGGGAGCCCAATGCGGGGCTTGATCCTAGGACCATGATCTCAGGATCATGACCTGAGCAGGAGGCAGTCACCCAATTGACTGAGCCACCCAGACCCCTCAATGTTATTTAGTTTCTAAAAGTGTGTTTTCCCCCTGAGAACTTGCCAGATGAAATTACTACAAAGTATTTTTCATGTTTTACTGAAACTGAAGCACATGGATCAAAAAGTGAGTCAGCAACAGATTTTTAGGACCAAAGTCAGGACTTGATTCACTTTACCTTGATCACCAGGAATTTTTAATTTTTAAAATTTTTTTTAAAGATTGTATTTATTTATTTGACAGAGAGAGACAGTGAGAGCAGGAACACAAGCAGGGGGAGTGGGAGAGGGAGAAGCAGGCCTCCCGCTGAGCAGGGAGCCCGATGTGGGACTCGATCCCAGGACCCTGGGATCATGACCCAAGCCAAAGGCAGACGCTCAACGACTGAGCCACCCAGGCACCCAAGTTTTAAAAAATTTTTAATGAAATGTTTCATAAATAGAATAAGGCATAGAGAAAAATATAAAGGATCCTCTGGGGCCACTGCCCAGTTTCAGAAATGAAATTAAAAAGAGAGATATCCCACCTCACCCCTAGCTCTATGTCTGCATTCTCTTGTGATGACATTTTCTTTCTTTGCTCCCAGAGGTAACCATTCTCTTGAATTTGGTATATTCACTTTTGGACCACTAAATTTTCCTGTCGTTCTTGATTAATAAGGACGAATAAGGATCTAAACAATGCTAGACATTTATCTATGAGATGGAAATGAATGGTCTTTGAAAAGCAAGAAATGGGTAAGAAGGTATAACTAACTAACAGGATATAACTTATTTATGAAGAATGCCTATCTAACACCTATATACAATATATTTCATCTGAGTAGATAAAGTTTGGTATATTTGATAAAAAGTGTGCATCAAATTCATCAATTTTTCTACCAATAGTCCTAAAAAGATACCTATGAAGAAGAAATAGAAATCACTCAGGTACCTAACTATGATTCTTATGTTCTCTCTAGATTTAATTTTTGGGTTTTATTTCCTATTGCCTAGATAATTCATAGGTGGCTGTAAGCTATTTTAATGGACAGACTGTATATATATATATATATATATATATTAAAGATTTTCTACACCCAATGTGGGGCTTGAACACACAACTCCGAGATCAAGAGTCTCATGCTCTACCAGCTGGGCCAGCCAGACATCCCAATTATAGTTCTTATAATTCAGGATTTATTCTATTTGAGCAAATCAGGGCCAGGTCATGAAGGGTCAACACTGACAACTTTGAGTACTACATCATTGCTTTAAAGGCTTCTTACCAAACATAACTGTTTCTTTATGAAATTTAAAAAGCATTTCAGTGAGTGGGTATGTGGAAAGTCTTACCAGATTCTTTGGAAGAATAAATGTGCAAAGTAAATGAAGACTTAAATTATTTGTTTACAGTTCTGGGCCTATAATATAGTAGTTAATTTTGAGCTTTGAAATTGATAGTATTGGGATACCTGGCTGGCTCTGTTGGTAGAGCATGAGACTCTTGAGCCTGGGGTTGTGAGTTCAAGCCCCATGGTAGGGGTAGAATTTACTTCAAAAAACTAAATAATAATAAAATTTATGGTACTAGGTTTGGCAGGCCAAGTGATACAAAATAAATTACTGAATATGTTGAATATATTTCTTATTATTTTTAAGGCACTGTAAATGTTTTAGTGGACCCTGTATAGGTATAACTCAAGTCTTATGCCCTTGAGAAATTTACTTTCTAGTTGAGAATTTAAATATTGAAAGAAAAAATCCAAGATATTTATAAATTTGTTTAAGATAAGGCCTATTCTTGGGGTGCCTGGCTGGCTCAGTCAGTGGAGCATATGACTCTTGATATTGGGGTTGTGGGTTCGAGTCCCATGTTGGGTGTAGAGATTACTTAAAAATAAAATCTTTAAAAACAAATAAAAGGGGCGCCTGGGTGGCTCAGTCGTTAAACATCTGCCTTCAGCTCAGGTACATGATCCCAGGGTCCTGGGATCGAGTCCCACATCGGGCTCTCTGCTCCACAGTAAGCCTGCTTCTCCCTCTCCCACTCCCCCTGCTTGTGTTTCCTCTCTCACTGTGTCTCTCTCTCTGTCAAATAAATAAATAAAATCTTTAAAGACAAACAAATAAAAAAAAGATAAGATGTATTGCTGTTAACTAAGAAAAGTCTGATTTCAAATAAATAACCTTTGCATGAGGACGCATATGCACGTTGACAAGATGTTATGTCAGTATTCATTTAGAGTTTTACTATAGGATCTCTCTAACAACTGGTGAACTAATTGATTATTTAAATGCAGAGAAGGAATTTACGCTATAATGTCCATTCAAGGGAATTAGCAATTATCCTCAGTAGTTCTTATAAAAATAATTATCCTCAAAGAAATATGTCCATAGGAGAATCCTGTGTATTTACTCAGATAAAACTGTCAAGTAGAGACACCTGGGTGGCTCAGTCAGTTAAGCGTCTGCCTTCAGCTCAGGTCATGATCCCAGGGTCCTGGGATCGAGCCCTAATCAGGCTCCCTGCTCAGCGGGGAGCCTGCTTCTCCCTCTCCCTCTGCTGCTCCCCCTGCTTGTACTCGCTCTCTCTCTCTCTCTCTCTCTCTCTCAAACAAATAAAATCTTAAAATAAATAAATAAATGAAATGGCCCTATGATTCCATTCTGTTTTCCATGAGAACCAAAACAAGGTAGTTTTCCTCCTTGTTTCCCTTTGTCAGAACACTGGGTATATAATGCTGGCTATAGTTTTATGATTGTGTGTTCTAAAGAAAACATGTTTTTGAGTCATGCAGCTGCAGCCCACCATGAAACATGCTGGAATTGGAGGTCTTGTTGTTTCTTGGAGGTAGTGGATGTTGGGAGAGGAAGATAACTAACCAAATTACAGTTTGGAATTTCTGATTTGAGTAGTACCCTGACACTATGCCCTGGTCTTTAAACTACTTACTCCCTCACTCAAGTTGTAGCACCTCAAATTTCATAGACTTGTTTCTTATACCATGTATTATACAGAGTTCTAGTACTCTCTTTTTCAACCCTCAGGTTTTTCCTAGTCAACATTTAATTCAGGTTTTTTAGTTTCAGTTTAGTTGTTCCAGGTGAATTTTTGGAGTGATTTTTAAAATAAATATATAATATTAAAAATTATGGGGCGCCTGGGTGGCTCAGTTGGTTAAGTGACTGCCTTCGGCTCAGGTCATGATCCCGGAGTCCTGGGATCGAGTCCCATATCGGACTCCCGGCTCAGTGGGGAGCCTGCTTCTCCCTCTGACCCTCTCCTCTCTCATGTTGTTTCTGTCTCTCTCACTCTCTAATAAATAAGTAAAATCTTTTTTAAAAAATAAAAATATTAAAAATTATGTAATGCTTTTCATCTTCAAATAAAGTAGTCATTAACTATTAGCTAGAGTTACATGTATCTACATTACTTACTAGAGATAAGGATAAAACAGGGTTAAACAATAAGCTCTAGGTGAAAGACAGTGTTCATTTTAGAATCTGATTTAGAACCAATTCTTAAGGATTTTTTAAAAAGATTTAATTTATTTATTTATTAGAGAGAAAGAACCCGAGCTGGGGGAGGAGCAGAGGGAGAGGAACAAACAGACTCCATGTTGAGTGTGACCCCAACTGGGAGCTCGATCTCACAACCCTGAGATCATGACCTGAGCC